AAAAAAAAAAAAAAAAAAAAAAAAAAAAAAAAAAAAAAAAAAAAAAAAAAAAAAAAGTAAAGTCATAACGCAACACGTACTTCTGTAACGATCTTCAAGTAGGGTCAAAAAAACTTAACGAGCAGGAAAATCTTTAGCACTATGTACTCATACATTGTACGAGAACCGACTCGAGGATCGATTTCGGCGAAAAGTCATAAAACCCGAGCCAACGCTGAGAGGGAAAGCGACGAAAAATTGCTTGTTCCCTTCTTCCCCACTGTCCTTCGATTTTTCTCTCTCAGGCTTAAGACATTGTGTATACATTGGTCGGGAAACGTGATGCCGTCACCACCACCGAGTTCCGGTTCGAACCCTTAAAACAGGATTATACATATCCTTCAAAGGGCATTGAACCGAATTACGTGAGGCTATACACAGGATTATAGATGTATTCGTGACTGTTTGTAGTGCCGCTCCAATTTTAAGACGCGATTTTGCATAAGTCACCCAGCGAGATTATTACAAATTACGTGGACGGCTTTGAAGACATCACGCATACAATAGCCACGTGAGATTGAGATGTAAAATTTCCGGGTGTACGCTCCTTAATGGGATCCGCTTCGTGCGTATATACCCCAGCTGTGGAGGTACCATTCGATTCATACGGGATTACAGTTGCACCGATCGACATCACTCAAACGTACGCATACGTCTTTATTTGAAACTACACGGTTTCTATACATATAATCTCATGAAAAATACCCACCAGAGCCCGTGTCCCTTTAACATTCCCTACACCCGTCCCTTTTACATAAATTATTCAAACCCGGAGAAGACCGCGAAAAATACGTATCCTTCGCAGCGTCGAGTTTGAGAAACAACGAAGAAGAGGAGGGTGCCATCCGTCCTCGCGATGCAAGAAAGACTGCGCGGTATTTTCGCGGATGATTCAAGCTTATCACTCACCGCCATCGGCACGCGCGCCGCAGAGACGAGGTTCTGCACTGCTTCGACGGCGAATTTTTTTTTCCCCGAAAGCGCGCGCCGATCCTATAAATACACGTACCCGCTGCAGCAACTGCAAGCTGCACGAGCGCGCGCGCCGAGGCACAATGAAAAAAAAAAAAAAAAAAAAAAAAAAAGAGACGAGGAGTACACATCTCGTGGTGAAGGAGGGAGAGGAGGTGACGTGTTGTCGAGAGCGCGCGTTGGGTCTCCCTCGAGGCAGTCGGTCTCCGGGTGCGCGGCGCGTAGTCTTTTCTCCTCCAGGTTGATTGTTTCGATTTTATCTTAAGCTGTTTTACTGTTTCGTTTTTTGTTTTTTTTTTTTGTTTTTTTTTTGTTATCGGCTCACTCTCTCTGGTGTGTGATAACGGCGATTGCGCTGGACTGACGACTTCGGACGCGCCGCGTGTGACTGCAGTGCTTGTTGCGAGGTGGCGAGCTGCGGATTTGCTGAATGGGTGTACATGATGCGAAGGAAGTGAGGATAATTTTTTGTTGTGCCTGATACTCTGTTTGCGCAGCCGAGGAGCGTTGAACTTTTCAGGCGGGAAAACATGCTGGCCGCTAGACACAGGTAGGTTGTTTCGAAGATCCCCCCCCCCACCAATTTTTGATGTTTTTTGGAAAGAATGATAAGAGTGTTCTTTTTTGTTTGTTTGTTTAGCTAAAGAAAAAAAGGTCTCTTTAGTTGGACGACAATTTCTTTTAATTGACATATTTTTATGTCGATATCTTCGGAAAATACTATATTAAACTCGGACGAGCATAGTTACTTCGTGCTATTGCTCTACCGATTGTTCTCCTTGTATCGGTATTCGAGTCTGGATAAAATTTTTATGCTTAAAGTACAAGTTTTTTCATGATTAATACTTTAATATTTGTAGGTGAATGTAGGGAATACTGCAGTAATTTATACCGTGAAACTGAAAAATCTTGAAATACTATGCGAATCAAAAAATTTTTACCACAAAACCATGGTAACAATTACTCTCGAGAAAAAAGGTGTACAAACAGTGAATTACAGTAATAATTTTTATATCTGATCTAACGCTTTAACATTTCCGTAGTTTCATAATAAAGTTCACTGTGTGCAGTCCTAGGCATGAATAAAATTTTTTGGTTTTACGATTTTTGTAAGAAAAAATAATTTTTAATCCTTACCTAATGCGATTACTAATTATTAAATTATAAAAAAAAAAAAAAAAAAAAAAAAAAAAAAAAAAAAAAAAAAAAAAAAAAAAAAAAANGGTTTAATGTCAACGTAAAGCACCAGCACTTTGCACCGTGACCTATATATGTTTCTTAGCTCTGCGAATAATCTGCAACCAACAGGAGTTTAATCCCGATATTTCAATAATTCACTACATATATGTTTTCTAGATCTTGGTCACAAAAAACATAGATAACAGGGAACACAATAAATTATTGCATTATTTTTCTCCTGAACAATAATAATTAACATTCATAGTAAATTTGTTAAAAGAATTATCATTAATTAAAAAAATAATGGTATTCTAAAAAAATAGTATTTTCAATTAATTACTTTAGAGAACTAACTTAAAGTAATTGCAGCCAACGCCCAACATGACACATCCTGATGCCCCTCCTTTTCTTGATAATCATAAAAAAGTAATTATATATTTTCCGTATGGATGTATCAGACGAATAAACAAATAAACATATCAAAGAGAGACGTCATTCGATTGCTTGCGGCAATGATGCGCTTTACGAAACTAGTTCAAACATTTGAGATACGATACTCATTATTTTTTCGTCGTCCAACAGATGTTTCTTTTCAGAGGTGAAATAGTGTATTACATACCGTTCGGTTCGGAGGTAATAAAATTTAATAGCGGCAATGAACGCACTTATGCGCTATAATTTTCATGCCACGTCTTAGAAAATTTGTGACTTTCGATTTTAATCGACAGTGGCACATACTTATGGATTCCGTTTAAATATTTTTTGGTGGTTTTCCTCATTTTTGTTTTGTCAGATGCCTTGCGGCTGATACGAAATGCCAAATAAAATTTATTTTCTCAGGTATAATATTTGTTGATTTTTCACGTTATTTTTGATTAATAAGAAAATATTGCTACAATTTTATCTTATTGTTGTTTAAAATGAACAATGTATGAAAAGGATTTTTTTTTCTTCAGCTGAATGGCTTTTTTTCATATTGTCAGAAAGGTGTACTTTGATAGCATCGCTCGACGGGGAATTCAAAACAATTCTCGTATCTACATCTATAAAAGTGCATCAATGAAACCGATAGCGTTGAAATCCAATGCAAGTCGAGCACAATTTCACCTGATAATAACGCCGTACATTGTTCCTTTGAAAATCCTACAACGAATCAACTTCAATTGCTTTCTCAGATTCGACTGGAGATTAACACGAATCAGATACAGATGTGCAATTGTTTGTAAATAAATATTTTTGAGATACGAAAAAAAATACACAACATTTAATAAACTGAAATTACGAGATATACTGAAATTTTCGTATTTTTCAGTTGTTTATCACGTCAAATGTAGTAATTGTATGCATTTCGTAATCTGCGTTAATGCTTTTTACAATCTGGTAAGCCAATATTATCACTTAAGAAAATTAAAGTATCTACTCAAAAAATTTTTCTTTACCAAGACTAAGGCTCACTCCTATTTCCATTAAAATTTAAAACAAAATTTAAATAAATTAATAAAATGGATTAATAATTATAATAAAAATAGTAAGGTCACTCC